GTACAATGTATATTATCTCTGCTTCTGTTAGGAAGTAGAATGAACTATTTTTCATCTGCTTCAAAGCAGGCATTTCTTATTATCCTTATATTCTTAAGCAGAGATTTTTCATTTTTGAATTAAATCCTTCCTTTGTAGGTAGTATTTGCCTCATGAATAATCTGAAGCATTTGCAGGACTTTAAACAGTAAATGAACACTCCTGGTTGTGCCTCCCTCTCTGAAGAGGTGCCTCGCATTTCCAACAGTTTTGGGAATATCTTCTCTCTCTGATCCTCTAAAGAGTTTGTTTTAATCCAAACATTCAGCTGGCAAATTCCATCTACCAAATGGTCTCCTCTCTTAATGTTTGCAAAAAGCAATCATATAGTTTTACTCCAGTTTCAAGGAAGATGTATACATTTGTTAAGGTGGGGTTTTTTTGTCATTTAGTAACAACTGAATTTATATAAATCATCTTTCAGCTAAAGATGCCAAATTTAATTTGTGAAGTGAATCTCAGTTTATATCTATACCTCATTCACCTGAACTTGCTTTAGCAGTGGAGTGGTTGGGTTTTGCTTCCTTCACTGAATTATCTGCTTCTAGCTCTGGTGTCTAAGCTCACTAGCTAGCTTGGGTAGTCATTTGCTCTGGAGTTTAAAGGAAGTGCAAGATGGATTGAACCAATGGAGAGAAGTGGTAGAGGGAAGAGGAATGCAGATTAGTTGATCCAAAACAGAATATATGCACTGTGATTTCTGAGGTACCTGTTGTTGGAAATGCGATAATCAGTGTTCAACAAGTTGACAAGTTCAAGCATCTGGGGTCAACTGTTTAGCAGAGTGGAGAGTTAGATGACGAGTAACAGCAAGGTGGACAAATTAGAAATTAGCAACAGGAATATTATGCGATAGGAGAGTATCAGCGAAGCTGAAGGGGAAAGTCTACAAGACGTGTGCATCCAGCATCATTGTATGGAGTGGAGACATGGCCCCTGAAGAAAACTCAAGAAAGAAGACTGAACGTGACAGAGATGAGAATGCTCCTAGGGATGTGTGGAGTGACAAAGATAGATAAAGTGAAAAATACTTCAGAGCATCAGTGAAGGTAGTAGAGGCATCTAAGTACAAGACAGAAGACTAGCATGGTATGGGCATGTTCAAAGAAGTCCGGAAGACTGTAGGAACAGAATAATTTAGGCAGAATACAGTAATCCAAATAAAATTAGGTTACTACATCAGGATTAACCCTGATAACCTTATGAAAAGGATCTGGGATTTTTAATAACAACCATTTTTCTGGACCTCTTACTCTTCGTTCATTAGCATGTTGTTAGGATACAGATTTAAAATTTTGGTAACAGGAAGCATGCCCCATCTGAGACTGACCCATCCACAAAACCAGGTGTTAATTTTCAGGCATCTCCCATTCAAGTACCAAGCTGAAGTGATAAGTGCTATGAGAATGACACTGAGTTTGAATCTAGAATCTGACCTACTGTTTGAACTTTGTATAGTCTCATGCTCCAAAGTCACATAAATCCAAAGTCACACAAAGATCACCCGATTATCTGTGAGGTCCCTTCCAGCCCCTAACAATCTATGAATCTATGCCAGGCTGCTAAGTGAATTAAGTATGTATGCTAGGGGTTCGCAAACTTTGATACCACGACCCTCGGTGCTGGATGGTAGCAATGGGGGACGGGGAGCTTGCATGCAGCAGCCACCACTGCCATCCACCACTTTGCGCTGCCACCATGTGCCGCTTCCCTGTGCCACTGCGCGTACCCCCTGGGAAGTTTGCAGCCCCCTTTTAAGTTGCTCACAACCCCCTCGGGAATCATGACCCACAGTTTGAGAACCCCTGATGTATGCAATGAATGCACAACCTGTTAATAACATTTGTCATGGTCTGAGGAAAATTGATACTGAGAATATGAATGAAAATATGATGCGAGGGGATAACTTATTTTGAAGCTGTATTTATGAAGCATTTTTTTTCTCTTCCTCTTATTCAGTTCCAGAAGTTGAACTGAAAGGAGAATTTTGCCAATATTATTTCTTGGTACAAGGCAATGGCTTTGGAGGCTGTAAAGCAACCATGATTCGTTCAGCCAATCAGATTAATGGATTAGCAACTCTTGCTGTAATAAATGGAAAGCTAAAGACAAATG